TTAATACGGCCCCCCAAAAAAAAAAAAAAAAAAAAAAGTCAAGAAAAGCAGGCAGCTTGGCAGGGCGGAAATCAAGGCTCAGCACCAATAGCAACTGCAACACGAGGACTGACAACGACGGGGAAGGAAAGAACAGACGTAGCTGTTCGGTACAATAATGCTAAAAAATTGCTCCTTTGACATTGGGTAGACTACAGCCCAGTAACGTTGGACACTAATGCAAGCGATGAAGGAATGGTATGAGCATGGGTCCTGACAGTCCGGATGAGGATGCTGCCATCTTCGTCGACATAGAGGATGTGGAGGAGGGGATTCAAGCAGATGAGGAGGACCCCAATATCTTTCCACCAGACTCATCCTCATCATTCTCTCCTCAAGCAGCATCTCAGTCAGGACCATCTAAGTTTGAGACATCTCCCGCCTCTCCTGGAAGCCTAGCTCCTCCTCCTCCTCAAACTCTGAAGTGAACATTATTCACCTCACTAAAAGAATTTGCAATGTTCTTGTCCAATCAGGTGGCAATTTGTTGTTTCCATTCAACTCACAGCAGTATTTCCTCTCCCATCTGTTTTCAGGAGGATGTTGTAGGTCCTGATGGCCAGCCGGGATACCAGCACGTCCTGAAGCTGGCCAAGGCCTTGGTGCAGGTCAGGAGCCAGGACGGGATCAGCGAGCTGAGGGTGGACCGGCTCGTCTCGTTCTGGCAGTGCATGTTGAAGCGAGACAAACAAAGGTTAACCTACCCGTCCAGATACCAGGGGAGACAGAACAAGAGGCGCCACCTGTCCTAGAAAGGAGAGTCTCCAATGGTGAGTTTGAGTCTTAAAAGCTGTAGTTTTTACCAAAATCTTCCCTTTTGTTTTCCTTTTCTTTTCTAATTGTTGGGTTTCAGTCACGTGACCCGGATGACACAAAATTCAGATGGAGGTCTGGAAGGGGATTTCTCCTGTTGAAAACAAAGCAAAATTGATCACAATGAGCATGCTAATGCCCTAAAAAGGCTGGAACAGATGAAGCATCTCGAAAAAAATACCCGTATATTTAGGATATGATGTGTATTACCTCGGCAAAAAAGACTTGTCTTATAATCTTGAGGATTTACCCGGTGTCGAGATGATCCACATAACTAACTACCTTGAGCTGCAGACCTCATATTATACTACGAGCCAGAAGAAAGTTTTCAAAAGCCTGGAGAATACAATCATTTAGTTTCAAGTTGGGTCAATCATTTAGGATCAAAGGCAGCATTAGATGGCTGTCGACTTGTTTCTGCCAGGTGAGTAGTGAGTTGTGCTATTTTAAGTAACCCACAGCCAGTGATGGTCTGGGGAGCCATGTCAGCTGCTGGTGTTGGTCCACTGTGTTTTATCAAGGGCAGGGTCAAAGTTATATCATGATAACGATGATATCGCTAACAACGAACTAACCCATGTTATTTCTATTAGATTGGATCTTCTGGTAAATAATTTATTTAGCTTCTGTAAACCCAAATTCATGCTGCAGTTGTACGTTAATGTCGAGTCATTGTCAATTGTCAGTATCATTGTCAATGTACGATCTACAGAAACCCCTTGTTCGTGTCTGGACAGTATAGTTCGTGATCAGACAAGAAGCATGTGGGGGAATATTAACACCTCTCTGTGGCTGTATGGTTGGGAAGGTTATATTTAACTTATTTAGTTTTTTTGTTTTTTTTTTAGCATGAACGTCCCGCAGAATAAACATTATATTTTCTGTCCGTGACTCGGCACTGAGCTAGCTGCTAACAACATTTGCACTCTGAGGACAACCACGCTAGGGCATAAAAATATATTTTCCCAGTAACTAAGTGCCACGAAGTAAACATCTAATTTTTACTTTTGTGTTAAATGCCTATTTTGTAATATATTTGAATATCTGTAATGATTAATCCCCAGATTTTGATCATCTTCAAAACAGCAGAGTTGAAGAGCCAAGGAGACATAGATATGAGTTTAAATGTTTAGGTTTTGCATCTTACTTAAAAAAATAAATGTGTCATATTCTGTTTTAAAATACATATTTAAAGTGAAAGTGTTCATATAAAAGTAGTAAACTGTTACTGTATCTTCGTGTACAGGAAGGGATCTTTCTGACATATGAGTCATTGCGTAAAGGCCAATAAACCCAGTCCTTTTCATGCATTAAGTATGGACAGTGCATCAAAGCAAATTCAACTAGACATTGTCTTTGGATGTAAAACTGTGCTGCATATTGGAAAAGGTCATGCTGTTGTTGTTTTTTCTCAGTTACATCTGAGACTAACTTTTCTCTTTTACTCTTGATTAGAGTTAATGCATAACTGTGGTGAACATCTAAAATTTAGTAGAAAACAAGTAGTGGCAAAACATATATCATTTCTAAAGACTTTTGGTATTTGCACAATGTTGATACAGTGTAATTTTTAGCACTTCCTTAAAAAAGTGCCAAAAGCAGTAGGGGAAGAACGGTGCTGCCCTGCAGCCTTATTAGAAACAGATCATGCATGCCATAAAACATCCAATGCAAGGTCTGTTCCAGTTAAATGTTTCATCTAATTATAAAGTATCTCTCTAAGCTACACAAAACATTGCAAAAAATATTATACAAAATCCGATTTATTTTTGCATTGTAAAGCATATTGAAACAGTGTTTCACATCTAAAGATAAATAAAAAATAGCCTAATGTAAATATTCTAAAGACAATACATGATTTACTCCGAGTTCATTGTTTGACATTTTTTTTTTCATTTTTTTACTCAAACTGAGTCCTAAAGAAGCTCTTGCAGTGTAAAATAATCCATCTTAGGTTTGAGCCTCCCAAGTTTCTTAAATTTGAAACCGAAATGATGGAAGATTACACATTCTTATTATAAACTAGTCCTATAGTTAGTTTCAAACATTAACATCTTTTACCAACTGGAGGGAACCCCTACGTTTCTAGATCTAAAGCTTTGGTTTTATTACTATGAACTTACTATGTGTTGGATATTATGTACAACTGAACAGAGTATACACAGGGAATTTTCAGGCATTCACCTTGTCCTACATGTAGTTTGTTACTTGCCATGATTAGATCAAGTCACAGATTTCACAATAATCATTATTTTCTAAAATAAAATGGCAGTAAAATGTGCTGGGCCTTTACTCACTTTTGGTCAGTTGTTGACAGAATGCTCTTACCTGAAGATGCTGCAATAAAACACAAAGGATATTGATATTAATAGGACATACACCTCTGAATGTACTGCTACTCTCTAACTAGTCTGTGAACAAAAACATTTTTGAAATCAAGGGTTCCTACTAAAATCAATATCCTACCTGTTGTGAGGTCATACCATCCCAAAGTCTGAGTTGCTGTGATGCATAACTTCCATCAGACCCTTGTGTAACGGAAAACGGACTGCATGTTGTTAAAGAAATAGACTACGACAGGGCTGTCAGGCACCCTGTAGAGGAGTCTCTCTTTGTGCAGCCCAGGTAGAGGGTTTGGCCCATCAGGCAGGACACCTGACTTATAACCACCACTGATTCCCCCCCTCCCCCCCATCCTTGCTGTGTTCTGTCACAGTGACTGCTCTCTCCATCTTCACTAATGTCACTCTCTGTTCTCACTCTCCCTTCTGACTCTTTTCATCTCTCTCATGGTAATTGATCTCTCTCTTGTCTCATTTCTCTGCAGCTGTCACTACTTCACTATGAGGGTATGTTTAATTAAAACAGGTGATGTATGGTTTCTCTTCCTTACCTAGAAGGTAAGCATGTATTTGAAAAAGAAAAGGAAGACTTTCAGCTGAGAGATTCAATAAAAACGCTCCTGCCTTTACTAATAAACTTGAAAAAAGTTAATTCATGGTCCTTTAGATATACAGAAAATAAATATAAGATCATTAAACACAATGTGTAAAACACTAAGGAAAGACATATTATTTCTGTTCATAACCATTGAACAGAACCCAGTGGGAAATGAGAAATTATGGTTATTATCAAAATGGTACCATCAAAATACAAACAAGTATGCAGAAAAAATAAAAATGTCATCTCTAATCAAATATATATCACTTTGCCAGAATATGCACAAGCCCTATACTTTTCAAATTGCCACCACGTTACACTATAAACATAATTATCTGTTTTTTTTAATCACTTTTTTTGTGATTGTGTGGCATAGAGACCAACACAAACACAAGGAACTGCATAATTGTGAAGAGGAAGATGATACATAGCTTTCAAACTTCTTATTAAAATAGAAACTTTACAAAAACTGAAATTTGACTATTCTGTCAACCTTCAGGCAGAGGAAAGAAGTCCTTATTGTAGACAATGCAGCTAGATCACTCCCCCCATATCTCTTCACAACTGTTGCCAGGATAAATCTTGTCTTGTCAATGTAAACTATATTCATACAGTGTAGCTTTTACAAAGGTAAAAGATAAGGTGTCAAAAATCTTTCGGGTTGCCTAAGGGTTCTTTCAAATGAAAGAAAAGGCTAGGACATCATACCCTTTAATATTTCCTGTACTCTTACCTTAGTACCTTAGTGTGCTAGAATAACTACAGTGAGGTGTTTCTTATTTCCCCTCCATCCCTTTTTCACATCAGTCCTCTTAACGTTTTAAGCTCTGAGATATTTTGGGGGCTTCCTGCATTTACAGAACGCTTCAACAAGTTAGTCCACAACCCAGAATCTAAATGTGATCAAGAGCTGGGCTTTGACTCACCTCAGGCTTTCCAATTATTAATCCATCCCTTAAAAGCTTTACTGATATGTTTTGGGTCACTGTCATGTTGCAGGGTTGAGTTATACTTCAACTTCATTTTTTTTATTTTTTTTATTTATCTTGCAGTACCCATTAAGATATGACAAATTCCATTGGTTATTCTATAAAGGTTAGCTGGCTTGGTCTTGTTGTAGCAAAGCATCCCCATTTGGAATGAGGTTCTATCCCTAAAACTGTGTATTTTGTTAATGCCAACCATGTCCTTCAATGTGGTGTCTAAATGACTCTATTTTAGATTTTGTCTACATCCCCTCGAGCAAGCTTTCATCTGACTGATTTGTTTTGTCAGAGAAAAGGTTCCTGTCATGATTCCTGAATTGGTAAGTAGCAATGTAAAATGCCCAAACTTAACCCTAGAGTCATAACATGCTTTAACATGCTTTTATTTAATTGTTTGGAAGAAATCTTGAACTTTAAAAAACATTTAGGATTACCAGTAGGTTAACTGTTACATTATCAGCACTCTGCCCACATTTTGTCAACAAAAATTTCCGAGCGAGTTTTAATTTTAATCTCTTAGCTTCAACGTCTGCTGTCTGTTGTGCAAACCTATGTTTAAACAAATGTCATCCTGTAAGGGAAGTGCCTACAATCATCTTGTGATACAATGTTAGAAGACATGTACAAAATTAAGTTCTATGTTTGTCAATGGTTTGCATAAAATATTGTGTGAATATAGTTTGTAATTTGAAGTTAAAAAGCCTCAGAAACAGACACATTGTGGGGCAATTGTTAAGATTTGCTTTGTAGGAAAGAGGAAATTCTGCTGTATCTGATGCACAAACATTTCAAGAATGCTTCTCAAACACATTATTCATATCAAGGCAAGAACATTTTTAGAATTAATGAGACATTTATCTCTCTCTAGCTTTAACTACTTTATATCAAATTTGTTTATGATGTGGATCTGTTGAAAGAGTCTGGATATTTTCACACAGTGATTGACAGCACAATGTTTGTAAGGTTCACTATTGCATAGCAGCTGTGGAAGAGTAGTTTTAAACTGATTTAAAACAAGATCTGAATTTGAAACTTCATATTTGTTTGTTTGCCTATACTTCTACATCTAAGCATAGAATCTTACCCTAATGCAGCTCCATACAGTGCTTCAGCACAGGGTCATAGTTTTATCTACTTCTGCTAACATGTGCACATGCCATTCTCCCTTCTCCTGATGGAAATTAATAGGTAGAAGTGGGAGCCGAAATGGCAACAGGTCTAGAAGATTTGCTCTCCTTCTATCTGCCATAACTCTTGGCTCCCCTTGGCAACCTGTAGTGCCATGGTGATGAAGGCATGATGAGAGGAAGCCTATTTTTCATTTCGCTCCCATCAACAATTTTGCCTCAAGCTTTTCTACCTGCCAGACTGTGGGCTCACTGGTAAATCCCCTTGCTTAATGTTGATTCAATTTCTGAGCTGTTGTGCCATAACCTCTGTTTACTAGGGGTTTAATTAGGGTGATTATGATATGAAAAAATTTATATGGCTATATAGTACATTTTTTATTATACGTGGTGTGTCGTACAGTGTTTGATGGATTAATTTTGCTGGCTTTTATGTTATTGTATGGTACCCCTTAATAGCGTGTCTTTATACCTCTTAAAT